CCCCCTTGACACTTGAACTGGAGTAGTTATGCCTAGTTTTTTTTGTTTAATTTCTTCCTAATTTTTTCCTCATCCATTATGGTGCAGATTGGGAAAGCTGTGAATAGCAACAGCAAATGCATTAGAATGGTCTGCATTTGTGCGTGGGAAGACCTTATGAATGTGAATCAGTACTGTGTTGTTTTTGCAATATAAAGGAATAGAAATGTAAAGCTTACATTCTGCAGTGTTGGCTTTTAAACACAAGGCTGTCCGGCTAAAGTGAACACTAATAATGAAATACAAATCTTCTCTAGGCCCTAAGCATAGTGGTATTTATTTGGTTTTGAAAACTGTTATGTATCATTTATCAAGTGTATCTATATTGGGAGTTATAGCTGTTTTGCATCATATTTAATCTGACGACTAGCCATGGTGATGTGGGATTACTGACACGATTAAAAAAAAAAAAGCTACAACCATCTCCTTTATCCAGCACTGTATGAATCTAATACATTGTTCATTAAAGCACAATTGTATATTATAAACTATAATATTTTAAAAATAGCCCAATATGGGTCACTGGAATAAAAGAATCTGTTAGAAATGCCATATAATCAGTAGTAGAATTGAAGGAGTAGAATATGCAGCAGAATAAATGGAAGCGAAATGTATGTGTATGCATAAATATACATACATTTTTTCTCCCTTGAATATTTTCTACAAAGATTGGAAATACCTAACTATCCTTTATTGTAAAGGAATCTTCTGGCCCTGGCTCTGTGCGGCGCTGGCTCTTTGAAGCATTCTTTTCTCTGCCTCCTTCCCCAGCTGCCTCTTTCTGATAGAGGCAGCAAGGGGACAGGAGGGAAGTGACTAGTGTATTGACTGTTCAATAAGCATTTGCTTATTGGATAGTTGACTGGTTGTTCACATCTGTAATCCATTTATTGCACAATGTTATAATTAATCAGTGTTATCATATATTCATTGTATGTTAATCAGAGTTGATTTGTAGGATAGAAAAGTGATCAGTATTTACAGAAATCAGATAGTAGATATGAGTATGATAAGCTGAAATACAAAAAACTCTTGCTGAAGTGTGCAAGACTTTAGTTTACCTCTTTTAGGAGTAGGAGACAAGAAATGGCGGCATAAATTTCCATCTCTCCTTTCTTTCTGAACTTCTAAACAAAGCTAGTTGTATTTTGTAGATACCTTGTTTATCCAATGTGAGAATTGTTCCTTTAGATCTTTTTGAATTAATATTAAGTAAATAGTTCACATTCTGAAATATAACTAATTCCATCGACATGACAGTAGGCATAATTTCTATGAGGTTAATGATGATGTTGCACTAAAATATTATCAAGATAGGAATTGGCTCTTCATATGTTCTTCTAAAATATGTGCTTAGAATGCATCCTTAAATTCTAAATTGCATCCCAAAGGAAATATTCCCTGTCAAGTTATAAACCCCTTTAAAGTAGAGATATAAGATTGTAGTGATGACAAATCTAATGTTTTTTAATTAAAAATTTACATGGCCCCTAAAGGTGACTTTTCTGCAGTGTGTTACAGGAGAATCCCTGCTTGAGAGAGCACCAAGATTGTCCAGTAAAAATGCAAATATAAATTTCATTTTATTGAGATCTCATCAAAATTAGAAATTAAAATCTAGTGTGGTTTTTTTTTTTCTTCCCAGTCTCTCTCTTTCCCATGGCAAAATGGTGATCACAATGTCAGCTGGAAATTTTTTACTCCTTCTTTCTAATTAATTTAATTTATCTATAAACTGGAAAATTCTCAAACTTGATTAAAAACCAAGATGAGAATCTGACCATTGGAAAACTGTCACGAAGGAGTGCCTAAAATAACTATATATTAATCAAAATTGTGCTGCTGCACTAAAGCAAGCTGAGTCATTCTCTTTTGTAGATGGCAGAGACTTTTTGAATTCTAATAAAGGTGGTTCATCTCTAGGTGCTTTTTATAGTTTAGGCCTGTCCTGGTATAACCGGGTAAAATGGCTTTTCAACAACACTGTTGGGAGGTTTTTTCCTTTTAAAAATATTTATAATGTAATAACAGAATTTAAAAACTGTGCATATGCAAGCATGCTTTTCTTTTTGCTCTTGACATAGTGGGATCTAAGACGGTTTGATTGGCCAGTGTGGAAAAAGGGTCAAACGGAGCTCCAGCAACTGGATGCAGAACATTGTCTATTCCCCAATGGCTAGTCAAACTGTTGAGCTATGTCTACACTAGTGGGTTCTTGCGCAAGTACGGCCGTTCTTGCGCAAGAACCCGCAGAGCATCCACACTGCCCACCCGCTCTTGCACAGGAAATTTACAGTATGGCATGGTAAGAGAGGGCATCTTGTGCAAGAGCTATGCTCTTTCCTAACAGGTGTAAGCTCTCTTGCGCAGGCATTCTTGCCAGGGTAGACATAGCCTCAGAGCCCTGCTTGAATATAGCCAAACTTAAATTCTATTTTGGCATAGTTTTCAAACTTCATGTTAAAAACTATGCCAAAATAGGCGTGTTCTTTTTATTAACGAAAAATAATGGTAAAAGGTAAAATAATGGAGAAAGAAGATCTTTTAATCACAGGACAGAAGCAGCACAAGCGTCATCAATGTAGTTTGCTGCTCTCTTGTAATATGCATCTTTCCTGACCTAAAGAACTTTTAGGGAGAGTTGAGTAAGTTTGATTTTTTTTTTTTTGAGGTCATGTCAGTGGCTACTGATTTGGTGATGCTCATGATGTGAATGTCTGTGAACTAAGAATTCAGGTTTATGTAGGCCAGATGGGCAGTTTTGGTCTTTACTTCTGTTTATTGTTTACCTTGTCAATATTGGAACTAGTGACCTAAAGGTGAGAGTGTTCATATTCCTCCTTTACCAGTCATAGGAGAGATTGCCTCTAATTTTTGTTTGCACATGTGTTTATCTGAAAACAGAGGTTTTATTTCTGTTAAATTTTGATACTTCAGTACAGCCCAGGGTTACAGAGAATTTTATAACTACAAATTAACTTAACACATCATGAGATAGGAGAGTCAGTCATATCCCCATTTTTCAGATGGGCAAGTGGAGGCAGAGAGTGACTTTACAAGATCACACAGTCAGTGACAGAGCTTATGATTGAATTCAGGAATTGTAACTTCCAGGTCCCTGCTCTAACTGCTAAATGGCCCCCTTACGAACACTTTCCCATGAGAAACTTTAAAATTGTAGGTAAGAGCTAGTTTTCTATCAGGGTTCAAATATATAGGAATGATACTGTAAGTCGTACTGGTGGGGAATGGCACTATATGTGAAAGAAATCCTAGTGTCAAATACTGTAAAAAAGAAAAAACCCACAAAACCTCAAATGAATTATCAGTGGTCCCCGCTATGGTGCCCGCCGGGACATTTATATGCGCCTGCTGAAACATCTGGACTGCCCCCCACTCCCCCGCCCCGGGCGTGCGGCGCATGGGCGGTGCCCCCCCCGCCCCGGGCGTGCGGCAGCCAGGCAAGGTTGGGGACCGCTGAATTAAACTGTACCATTGAGTCTCTATGGACGGAATTTCCATGCTTGAATAATAAGATTAAAGTAATAGGAACATACTGACCAGCATGGTAATAGTGACTATGAAATGCTCAGAGAGATTAGAGAAATAGAAAAATCAATAATAATAATAATGGATTTCAGCTGTCCCCCTGTTGACTAAATACAAGTCACATAAGGGTGGGATGAAGAAATAAAGTTCGTTGACACTATAAATGACTGCTAGTTTGGAACCTACATGGGGAGAGGCAATTCCTGTATACCACATAGGACTAAATCAAGATCTGGTCCAAGAGGTGAATATAGCTAAAGCATATGCAAAAGTAATCTCATGATGTAATTAAATTGAAGATGTTGGGGGAGGCACCAGTGAAGCCTACCACAGCAGCATTTAACTTCAGGAAGGAGAACTGCACAAAAATGAGGAAGCCAGTTACAGGGATTTTAAAAGGAACAGTCACAACTGAAATTTGTGCAAGATGGAAAATATTTAAAACCAGCATAGTACAGGCTTAAATTAAACGTATGACCCAAAATAAAAAAAAGATGATAAAAATGTGCTGCTATGGCTAACTAGTAAAAAAGGCAGAGGCAAAAGGCATCCTTTAAAGTAAAAATGGGAAGTTTAAACCCTGCTAAGGAAAATAGAAAGGCACAAACTCTGGCAAGACAGTAAAAATATAACAAGACAGGTAAAAAAAGAATTTGGAAAGCAACTAGTCAAAAACTAACAGCAAAAAATATTTTAAGAGCATCAGAAGCAGGAAATATGACAATCACTGCATCTGCTCGATATGCAGGGGCAATTAAAAAAATAACAGAATGCTAGGAGTCATTGTGAAAGAACTAGATTGTAGGACAGAAAATATCATAATATCACTATCTAAATCCATGGTACTCCCACACCTGTGTGAAGTTCTGGCCACCCTGTCTCAGAAGAGGTAAATACAAATTGGAAAAGATATAGGGAGAAGCAAAAAATGATTAGGGGTATAGGACTGCTTTTGTATCAGGAGAGAGAAAAAAAAATGGGGACTTTTCAGCTTGCAGTGGGTCATATCACCAAAGAGGTCTCCTTGCTGTACGTATTGGTTTCCCCATTGTGCTAGATATTATACTAGGTTGAGTTACTCAAAATTACAGGTGGATTGAGTCTCAACTGGGATTTAGATTCTGATGTTCTCTGCTCCCAGTCCTGCCTTTAGACCACATTTATATCTTGTGTATTTAGAAATACTACTCATGAAATATTAAAAGTAAATATAAATACTACTGTCGTGAAAAATACATCATGTTGCACCTTATATTTCAGGATGCAGGTGTTGGTTGACTTTATTCTTAGCTGCACCAACCGAGCTAGAGGTTTGATAAAATCTGAGATGCTTAGGGGGAAAAACTTTCATCATTATATTTTCCTTGTCTGTGCTGTAAGCTCAAGATTTTTAATCTTTTTATTTAAAATAGATAAATCACCAAACTGGGAAGATGATGGCTGGGGAGCCTGGGATGAAGCAGAAACACAAGAACCCGTAAGTCTATATGTATTCCCTTTATTATTAAGACTTGGCTTTTCTCAATTAAACTTTTTGGAGCTTTTGGTTTTTCAGTTTTAAAAACAAAATTTTTCCTCGGAAAGCACACACGTCGTGGAAAACTTTTGACTAAGCAGAGTTCCTAATTCTTATTTCCATTCCTGGAGAAGTAAGAGCCCTGGTTGTGTTGTGTGTGAAGCAGTACTGTGTAACTGCTTCTCCTACTTTTTGCAGGGTTGTCGTTTGGGCATTGTTTTTTAACTGTAATATTTTTGGGTACACTTGGGACACCTTTTGGTGTTTCTCATATTTGAGTTTGGTTTCTGAAGCCTCATAGTCTATAGAGGGACAGGGAGAGTAGAAGGGAAGGAATTGTTGAGGTGCAATAACCTAAAGGCTAGCAGAATTAATTTTTTTGTGAGGAGATTTGTTTTTCAAATTGTGATGTTGCCTTGGAGAACCATCTTAAAGAGACTGTGTTCATGTTGAAAACTGACCACTCTGTCCTCTCTCTCTTTCTTTCTGTGTCTCAATTGTTTTCTAGTCCATGGTAGTACTTGAACTGGCAAGAGACATGTCTGCAAATAGCCAACTAGTCCTCCTTTCTGTGATGTTTTGATAATATGCTAAAAGAATTATTGTAAAGTAGATAAACCTGACTTGTGCTGTTCTGCAATTTATATAGTAGATGAACTGGTGCTTGGGCACGGAGCACTAGATCAGTTCTTCGAGCAAGCAAGGCATCTGTGTGGCTTGAAAAACCAACCAACCACCTTGAAAATCACTGCCTACTAACTAACGCTTTGCACACAGGAAGAAGAAGAATCCACTTACAAGACACAGACAAATTACTGGCTTCAAGACTGTGTGTTATCCTTGTCACCAGCAAATGATCTCATGGTAATTGCTCGGGAACAGAAAGCGGTTTTTTTAGTGCGTAAGTATGTAATGTAATTTTATTACATATAGCCCAGTACTTCAGTTAGTGGACAATTGCAGTTCTTATAAATCCCTACTTTCAGGGATTTTTAGTATGCTGGAGTAATTTATGAAATATATGTGATGCATTAACTAAGCACAAGCAGATATGACAGATCTGAAGTTTCAGCCTTCTTGGTTCCTGTTTTTTGCAGGTCTGAGATTTATATAAACACACTATATAAATAGCTTGTTATCTCTAGTTTTGCTTGTAGATATTACCATTATTTGTGCTTTCTGTACAAAATCTGTGCTGTATTAATGTTTTTTAAGACTTTTTGCTTTGACTTAAAAACTATACCTATGTAGCAGAATGCATGCCATTGTCAAAAGTAAAAATATCAGGCGGGTAGCTGTGTTAGTTTGTATATGCAAAAACAGTGATGAGTCTTGTGTCACCTTAAAGTTGAACAGATTTATTTGGCCATAAGCTTTCATGGGCCAAGACCCACTTTGTCATCCACATTGGAGTAGAAACTAGAGGGGCAGGCATAAATATATTAGCATATAAGAAGGGAGCTCCCTTAACAAGGGGAGGACAGTGCTAATGATGCCAATTCAGTTAGGATGGATGTGGCTCACCAATAATAACTTGTAACAAAATCCTGCAGAAACTGCTGCACTCCCCCTGCCCCCCAGCAGACCAGGGAGACGGAGAGCAAAGCGGAGGAGCACGCCCGCAGCGGGACAGCCCAAGCGCGCCCGGTGTGGATGCTCTCTTTCGAAAGAAGCTTACAGTCTAGATGTACCCTAGGTGGCATACAGATGGCATGTGATGTACTATATTGTATCAAGTGCTGTGACTTTTTACTCTTAGGTAATTCTATTTGGAAAATGTGTCTACTTATAGCAGTGGTTCCCAAGCTTTTTAAGCATGAGATCACTTTTTGAATTTAAGTACAATCCAAGATCTAGCTCAAACCCAAATACCCTTGCCCCGCCTCCTTCCCATCCCTTCTCTGAGGCCCTGCCCCTGCTCACTCCATCCTCCCTCCCCATCTTCACTTGCTTTTATCAGGCCGGGTGCAGCGGTTTGGGGTACAGGAGGGGTTCAGGACTGGGGCCAGGGTTTGGAATGTGAGCTCCGGCTGGGCGCAGCTTACCACAGGTGGCTTCTGGGTGGTGGTGCAGGGGGCTAAGACAAGCTCACCCCTACCCTGACCCTGCACCACCCCCAAAGCAGCCAGCAAACTCTCTCCATCCCTGTCCCCCTCTGCTCCGTGGAGAAGGGGTACAGGGTGGAGGGAGGGACACCCTGACATCAGCACTCCCTCTTCTTCTTCCTGTGCCCTGCACAGCAAGCAGGAGGCTCCCAGGGGTGAGGGATACCTCCAAGGCAGAAGCAGCATGGCAGTGCTGAGAGGGGAAGTTGAAGTGCCAGCACTTGATAGCCTCCTGACCAAACCTCTCAGGATCACCTAACAAAGGTTCCAAGATCTACCAGTAGATCCCAATCTACTGACTGGTGACCACTGACTTATAGAAACAATCTGATGTTAGAGAACAATGAAGTCTGTTGTGATTTCCACTGTTACTATTAAGTGGCTAAAGCAATTATGAAAACAAAATGTTTAGAGCTACTCCATTTTCCACTGTTAACTCAGGGCAGGTATAGGTAGGGGGCAATGTCAGCCAAAGGTATGCAACTCCAGCAGTGTGAATAGCACAGGTGAAGTCAACGTACCTTGGATTGAGTTGCTGTGGGGTCTCCGTGGTGTGTGTGTGTGTGTGTGTGGGGGGGTCAATAATAAAGCAATCAATGGTGATTTAGCAATTCATTGGTAGACCCATTGAATTGACTCTGAGGAATCGATCGCCACAGCCCTGATCTCCTGGTAAGCGTAGGCCTGCCCTTAGACTTTGGGTTTTAATTTGTGGGTAACCATCCCAGATAATAGTATTTTGTACTAGCACTGCACTTTTCTTCTGTAGAGCTCACTGTTTGAAGTAAATTTCATTGCTCCAGTGAAGTAGCTTGTCAGTTTTTATTGACTTTTATATAGCCAATTGAGGAGTGTGGCGAGGGTGCATGATGTGCATGAGGTCGCACAGAATTCATGATTTCTGTTTCTCAGATAAGTAGAACATACTGCCTTCTTACGGTGAGAGTTTTTTACACTGGTGAGTGACCTAAATGTACTATATTGAGGAATATTAGATACAGACTAGGCTGTTTTTTGCAAAATAATGTTTTAACATATTATTTATGGATAATGCCTTTTTTAATATCAGCAAAATGGAAATACAGTGACAAAGGGAAGGAGGAAATGCAATATGCTGTTGGTTGGAGTGGCTCTCTGAATGTTGAAGAAGGGTAGGTATTGAGTTATAAGTTTTTGATTATAAATGTCACTTTTTAAACTATTACTAATTAATACTTTGCTCTTTTTTATCTTAAATACACGTTTAAGCCAGTTCACTCCAGCACCGTCTCCTGCTTTTCCCCCTCTCCCCGTTGCTGCCTCTCTCTGATAGAAGCAGCAAGGTTGGGGTGAAGCGACTAGTCAAATGACTATCCGACTAGTTGTTAACATCCCTAGTTCCCAACCTTTTTTTATATCATGGACCAGCAAACCCATTCAGAAACTTTTGGTGGACTGGTAACATTTTATTTACATATTAATATATTCATTATACAAATAATGAATTTGCAAATATGCAGATAAAATGTTATCAGTCTGTCAAAATATGTACCCCAGCCACAGCCCCTAGAGCCACCGCGAACAGCTAGCTTCAGCTCTATGTTCACTACCAGTGATTCACGGCCCGGCACCAGTGTGTGGACCAGCAGTTGGGAATTACTGCTATGGATGATCAAGGTGAAAATTAGCAAGTTTCTCCTTTATTTACCTTCCATGTAACCCAGCGTGGGCAATAATTTTTTTCCAGGGGCCACTTCAAAAATTTGAAGGAAGGGGCAGGGCCAGGATGCTTCTGGACTTCCCCACCAACAGACCATGATTGGTTTGGGGGTGGAGGAACCCCTTTGCCTCTCCTTCCCACTAAGCACCCATGCCTCTGGTGGTGGGAGGAGACGTCCTGTGCTCCCCCGCCCCCAGGCCAATCAGGGCCTGGGAGCAGGGGAGCATGCAAAGCCTCCTCCCACCCTGCCAGGAGCACATGGCATTTCTAAGTGCTGTGCAGTCCTGGCAGGCCAGGGGTAGGGTGGAGGGAACTTTGCACGCTCCTCCTGCTCCCAGGCCAGTCAGGGCTTGAGGGCGGTGGAGCATGCTCCTCCTGCCCTGCCAGGACTGTGTGGCACTTCAAAGCATCTCATGCTCCTGGCAGGCTGGAGGAAACTGTGTGCTTTCCCCCGCCCCCAAGCCTTAATTGGCCTGAGGGCAGAGGAGTGGCAGGGCCTCTGCAGGCCAGATCAACCGGCTTGGCCCACGGAGGCACTTTTTCCCACCCCTGATGTAACCCCTACCAACTTTAGCAGCAGTGATCCTATGTGTTTCTGTAAATGTATATTTCTCTTGGACATTTTCTTACTTATTACTTCTAGAACTGATTGATATTTCTGTTCCTGTGGAATTTTTCATTTCTAATATGTTTTACATCCATTGTTCCCTCCACACCATTGGTTAATCTTAAAGATCTTTCTGTGAACTACTATACAGCATAAATAATATGTATTTAAAAAAACACACAGACAGAAATTAGGATTTTTTTTCTTCAGGATCTTGGAATAGAAAATATGTAATTAATAGAAAGACCCAGCAACATACACTCTCTTTCTCCCTCATTTTTAACCTACAACATAAACTGTGTTTAATTTTACAAATATGGTGGAATTAGTATTTTGCATAATATTTTACCTCATTACATCATCAATTTTGAGTTTTAATAAATGTTTTAAAATATTAAATAAAATATATTAATAAATACTGGCAAGATTTGCTGGTAGCATGGAACTAGAGCAGTATGTAATTTTAAATTGCTCAGTATGAAATGCTTAATTTTTTTTCTGTTTCTAGTGAATGTGTAAGTAGTGCTTTGTGCATTCCACTGGCAAGCCAAAAAAGGTAAGAATAAATTAACTTTTTAGCAATTAAAGCTTCTGCCCTCACATACGTGCATGTTAATCCTTTTAAAGTGAATGGAGTTTGTATATGTATATTTGAGAGAAAAATCTGTTTTTTTCACTTTAATTTGTTTTTATTGGACAGGAGCTCCACAGGTCGTCCTGACTGGACCTGCATCGTGGTTGGTTTTACCTCTGGCTACGTCCGTTTCTACACTGAGGTGACTCTTCTTTCAGCACTGTTCAGCTGCAAAGCACTGATGTATTGATGTGACTTGTAAACCTTTATTTTTGTAGGTTGTACTTCAATTTTTTTTAAGTAAAGGTGAATTAATGAATACTCATTTGTTAATTTTTTCTTAGAATGGAGTCCTACTTCTTGCGCAGCTATTAAATGAAGATCCCGTCCTACAGCTTAAATGCAGAACCTATGAGGTTCCAAGGCATCCTGGAGTCACAGAACAGGTGGAGTAGTAGACTATTTCAAAAGTGAAATAGTACAGTTATAGGATGTGGCATTTTTCTTTACTACATGAATCCACTAATGTGTATTTAGCAGTTTTTGATGCATGAAAGATTTACCTGAGCAGGAGATTAAGGATATGTTATTCTAAAATAAAACATAGTCAGAAAAGCTGCATTTATTTCCACTTACTTTTGAGGTGTATATTTAGCCCAAAAGCTGTGAGTGTCATTGATTACTGAATCATTTGTATGAAAGAGGGCTGCATTTGTTGCCCGTGTTTTCCTTTTATGTACGTAAAATATAATGGTAGTACAAGGGGAAATATGCAGCATGAGAGGCTCCAAGAATTGCACAGTGCTTTCGCACATGACTGAATATTCTTTTATCTCTTAGTAAGATTACTGTGGTAACAGCTAAAAAGTAAAAAATACCTCCAAGGAAAGGAGTTAAGACTATTCTGAAGATAGTCACAGGAATCTAATCATGATGCTGATTCCTGTACAGGGATCTTTGTAGAAATTTGTTCAACTTTGTGGAAAAGCCTGCCATTCTGCACTCTTTGCTAAAATAGAATTTGTCATGCAAAAAACCAGGAAGTATTAGAAAGTTTTTTATCTTTATACTAGTGCTCATCTTTGACAATTCACCATGACATTGTGGGCCCCATTTTTAAATATGAAGGTTTTAACCGAGGTGGCAGGTGCTGACCTATTCACGCTGTGATCAGGGGGCGGAGAAGAGAGTGAGAGCATGGGGGAGGGTGGACTGAGGACACAGGCTTCAGCAGTGTTACTGAGCATGCTTAGTACAAGCCAAGCACCAACTTGGGAAAGGGAAACCAACCCCATCTGCCATTCCCCGCCCCCATATCATCGGAGAGAGACTTCTCTTAGAGGAGAATCCGTTGATAGAGATTCTCTAAGCTGTAGTCGGAAAGAGAGGAGGGGAGAGGGCAAACCATGGGCCAGAGCAGACAAACAACCGCATATAAAGGAATCCAATGCAACAGGGAAGGGCAGACAACTAATCACTGGCAAATTTTTAAAGTGCGTCTACACAAATGCTAGGAGTCTGACTACTAAGATGGGCGAACTAGAGTACCTCAAATTAAAGGAGGAGATTGACGTAATAGGCATCATTGAAACCTGGTAAAATGAGGAAAATCTGTGGGGGACAATCATACTGGGATATAAAATATATCGAAAGGCTAGAGCAGGCCGGCTGGGTGGCAGAGTGGCACTGTATGTGAAAGATAATGTAGAATCGAATGAAATGAAAATATTAAATGAATCAGCATGTTCAATAGAATTGCTATGGATTGCAATTCCATGCTCCAATAATAAGAAATTAGCAGTAGGGAAATATTACCGACCACCTGACCAGGACAGCGATACTGACATAGAAATGCTGAGGGAGATTAGAGAGGCTACCAAAATAAAGAACTCTATAATAATGGGGGATTTTAATTACCCCCATATTGACTGGATACACGTCACCTCAGGATATTACCGACCACCTGCCCAGGACAGCGATACTGACATTGAAATGCTGAGGGAGATTAGAGGCTACCAAAATAGAGAACTCTATAATAATGGGGGATTTTAATTACCCCCATATTGACTGGATCCATGTCACCTCAGGAAGAGAAGCGGAGATAAAATTTCTCAATGGCTTAAATGACTGCTTCTTGGAGCAGCTGGTGCAGGAACCCACAAGGGGAGAGGCAATTCTCGATTTAGTCCTGAGTGGAGTGCAGGATCAGGTCCAGGATATAACCGTTACAGGACCGCTTGGGAATAGTGACCATAATATAATGACATTCAACATTCCTGTGGTGGGAAGAACATCTCAGCAGTCCAGCACCCTGGCATTTAATTTCAAAAAGGGGAATTACACAAAAATGAGGAGGTTAGTTAAACAGAAGTTAAAAGGCACAGTGACTAGAGCCAAATCCCTGAAAGCTGCATGGAAACTTTTTAAAGACACCATAATAGAGGCCCAACTTAAATGTATACCCCAAATTAAAAAACATAGCAAGAGACCTAAAAAAGAGTCACCGTGGCTTAACCACCATGTAAAAGAAGCAGTGAGGGACAAAAAGGCATCTTTGAAGAAGTGGAAGTCCAGTCCTAGTGAGATAAATAGAAAGGAACATAAACACTGTCAAATCAAGTGTAAAAATGTAATAAGAAAAGCAAAAAAAGATTTTGAAGAACAGCTAGCCAAAAACTCTCAAATAACAAAATGTTTAAGTACATTAGAAGCAGGAAGCCTGCTAAAAAACCTGTGGGTCCCCTAGATGATCGAGCTATAAAAGGAGCAATCAAGGACGATAATGCCATTGCGGATAAACTAAATGATTTCTTTGCTTCAGTCTTCACGGCTGAGGACGTTAGAGATATTCCCAAATCTGCAACGTTAAATTGGCTTTCGTACCTAATGACTGGAAGGTAGCCAATGTGACACCAATATTTAAAAAGGGCTCTCGAGGCGATCCTGGCAATTACAGACCGGTAAGTTTAACTTCAGTACCAGGCAAATTAGTCGAAACAATAGTAAAGAATAAAATGGTGAGGCACATAGAAGAACATAATTTGTTGGACAAAAGTCAACATGGTTTCTGTAAAGGGAAATCATGTCTTACTAATCTATTAGAGTTCTTTGAAGGGGTTAACAAACATGCAAACAAGGGGGATCTAGTAGATATACTTGGTATATTTATATTTTCAGAAAGCCTTGACAAGGTCCCTCACCAAAGGCTCTTGTGTAAATTACATGGCCATAGGATAAGAGGGAAGGTCCTTTCTTGGATTGAGAACTGGTTAAAAGACAGGAAACGAAGGTTAGGAATAAATGGTAAATTTTCAGATTGGAGAGGGGTAACTAGTGGTGTCCCCCAAGGGTCAGTCCTGGGACCAATCCTTTTCAACTTATTCATAAATGATCTGGAGAAAGGGGTAAGCAGTGACGTAGTAAAGTTTGCAGATGATACCAAACTGTTTAGGATAGTCAAGACAGAAGCAGACTGTGAGGGACTCCAAGAAGATCTCACCAAACTGAGTGATTGGGCAACAAAATGGCAAATGAAATTTAATGTGGATAAATGCAAAGTAATGCACATCGGGAAAAATAACCCCAACTATACGTACAGTATGATGGGGGCTAATTTGGCTACAACAAATCAGAAAAGGGATCTTGGAGTTATCGTGGACAGTTCTCTGAAAACTTCCACACAGTGTGCAGCGGCAGTCAAAAAGGCAAATAGGATGCTAGGAATTATTAGGAAAGGGATAGAAAATAAGACCCAGAACATCTTACTGCCCCTGTATAAAACTATGGTACGCCCACATCTTGAATACTGTGTACAGATGTGGTCTCCTCACCTCAAAAAAGATATTTTGGCCTTGGAAAGGGTTCAGAAAAGGGCAACTAAAATGATTAGGGGTTTGGAACGGGTCCCATATGAGGAGAGGTTAAAGCGACTGGGACTTTTCAGTTTAGAAAAGAGGAGACTGAGGGGGGATATGATAGAGGTCTATAAAATCATGAGTGGTGTGGAGAGGGCTGATAAAGAAAAGTTATTTATTAGTTCCCATAATAGAAGAACTAGAGGACACCAAATGAAATTAATGGGTAGCAGGTTTAAAACGAATAAAAGAAAGTTCTTCTTCACACAGCGTGTAGTCAACCTGTGGAACTCCTTGCCAGAGGAGGCGGTGAAGGCTAGGACTATAATAGAGTTTAAAGAGAAGCTAGATAATTTCATGGAGGTTAGGTCCATAAAAGGCTATTAGCCAGGGGATAAAATGGTGTCCTTGGCCTCTGTTTGTCAGAGGCTGGAGAGGGATGGCAGAAGACAAATCGCTTGATCATTGTATTCGGTCCACCCTCTCTGGGGCACCTGGTGCTGGCCACTGTCGGCAGACAGGATACTGGGCTAGATGGCTGGAGAAGGATGGCAGGAGACAAACTGCTTGATCATTGTCTTTGGTCCACCCTCTCTGGGGCAGCTGGTGCTGGCCACTGTTGGCAGACAGGCTACTGGGCTAGATGGACATTTGGTCTGACCCAGGACGGCCATTCTTATGTTCTACTGATTCCCAATATTCTGTTAGCTTTTTAGTTTTTAGACTGCCACTGCACATTGAACAGAATTTTTCAGGGATTTCTCCTCAAGGATTCCAAGATTTCCTTCTTGAGTGCTAACAGCTGTTTCAGATCCCATCATTTTTGTATGTATAGTTAGGATTATATTTTTCCATGTCCATTACTTCTCACTTAACACTGAATTCCATCTGCCCTTGTGTTGCTTAGTCACCCAGTTTTGTGAGATCCCTTTGTAACTCTTTGCAGTCAGCTTTGGATTAGTCACTGTTTACCCCATTTTTGAGAACATTTGTAAGTTTAAGAGCAGTTTCTTGTTATCTCTAAGGATATGTCTTTCATTTCATTCATCTCAAGGCAAAACTTGAATTAAGATATTCAGCTTCAGCTATGTCAATTGCATAGCTGAAGTCAAAATAGCTTTTGGTACTGTCTACACAGCAGAAAGTCTTCCTTTGACTTCTCTTACTCCTCATGAAATGAGGGGTACAGGAGTTGAAGTAAAGAAGTCCTCCAGTGTGACAATATTTTGAAATAGTGGCTTGCTGTGTAGATGTGCACTTTGTTATTTTGAAATGATGTCACTTGTTCCAAAATAACACTGCTGTGTAGATGTACCCTAAGATGCTACTGTATTGCTTGTTATTTTTAAGGGTTCGGTTTTTTTTAAGTTTAACAGCAGTGATTCAAAGGCAAATCCCAGCAGAACAACACTCATTCCTATTCTTTCTTTACCCTATCTTTTAAGTGGAGTACCCAGCAATGATTTCATCATGATCTAATGATTCTTCAGTGACTTCAGTGCTCAGCCTCTTGTTAGTCTTAATCACCCTGCCTCCCTTATTTTTTTAATAACAGGTTCCCTGCCCCAAAGGCAAAGTTGCAAGTAGCTCAGCTACTGCAGTTGAGACCTGCCTCCTGGAGTCAGGGCATGCAGCTTTAAGCAGATCTCATGTATGAAATCTAGGGGTTCAAAGTGTGTGGGTGTGGGTTACTGTCCCTCCTAGCCCCCTGTAAATGGCAGCCTTGGTTTTAACAAAACATTTAAATCATTGCAGATGGACAGTTAGGTGTATAAAACAGGCTTGAGTGCAAATTTAAACCCTAATCCAGATATAGGATTTGGGCCATAAATCCTTTGATATTTGCACTCTAAATAAACCCATGATAAGGTGACCATTACAAGCAGCAGCAGCTTGTATGTTCTCTCTTTAAACCCTTAAATTCAGTGAAAGCAGACGTGTAGATAGTACATACAAAATTCAGTTTGTATTTGAATAATTATTAATTGTATGTTGAAATATTGGTTAGTTCTATAAACAATGTTTTTCTTGCTACATAATATTCCATTATGCAGGGTAATTAGAAGTTTACGATGGAAACACTTGTTGCCATGCACTGTTGTACAAAAGCTTTCATTCAGAAAGAAGAGCAAAATAGGCATGAAGATGGTGAAAGTTATTGTCTCTCTTACCTCATTGTTTTTAATAAAGAATGAAGAACTAAGTATCCTGTATCCAGCAGCAGTTGTGACTATTGATGGTTTCAGCCTTTTTCAGTCCCTTCGTGCTTGTCGTAATCAGGTAGCAAGAGGTACGTCTCAGAGAGAAACTGTCTATTGCTGTGACCTACCACAGTACTTACAGAGGTCTATTACACTGTATGGTAATAGAAAATATATCGTTTTTCAGTTTTTTGGGGCTTAAAGTTATGTGTGGAAAAATATTTTTGAGAAATGCATTTCCTCAGTTGAGAATACAGGCAGTCCCCGGGTTACATGGATCCGACTTATGTCGGATCCCTACATATAAACGCCCGCTGTCCCCGCCTCCGGCGGCGCGGGGGGCACTTCCCCCCAGCAGACCAGGGAGATGCAGAGCAGCTTTTCTCACCGCGGAGGATGCGGGCGGTGGGACCGCCGAGATGTCCCGTGGTCCCGCGTCCTCCGCAGTGAGAAAAGCTGCTCCGCGTCTCCCTGGTCTGCTGGGTGGGGGGAGAGGGATGCAGCTAGTGCTGGTCAGTTTCAGCAGCGGCTGGATCAGGACGCCTGGGGCAGAGCAGCTGGGGTGCTGCCGGGTTGGTCCAGTAGCGCCGAGGAGCGGCGCTGCGGGACCAACCCCGAGATGTCCCGTGGTCCCGCGTCCTCCGCAGTGAGAAAAGCTGCTCCGCGTCTCCCTGGTCTGCTGGGTGGGGGGAGAGGGATGCAGCTAGTGCTGGTCAGTTTCAGCAGCGGCTGGATCAGGACGCCTGGGGCAGAGCAGCTGGGGTGCTGCCGGGTTGGTCCAGTAGCGCCGAGGAGCGGCGCTGCGGGACCAACCC